ATCAGAGCACACAGGAACAAACAAAGAGGGAAGGAGAGAGAGTGGAACACATTCTGGCCCACCAAGCCCCGAGGATAATATTCCTGCACAGAGTAGCCAAAGCACAGAGAGAGACCATAAGGCCAGCCCCAAAACAAGACACAATGTCCCTCACTGATCCACAGCGCTATGAGGGACAACACTGGAGGCACAGTGTGGCAATTGTGGCCAATCTGACCTCACCACATAGCGGTGAAATGCTAAGGGCGTGCAACAGAGCAGCAAGGGAAGCAAAGCAATGAAGTCCCCAGGGAATACCAAAAGTAGAGATTGGGGCCTTGGAGTGGCACCCATCAGACTCGACTGGAAAACACTCCTAAAGGTCAAAAAACAGACCTGGAACTATTTATAGTCTTATCTTTTTTTTTCTTTTTTGGGTCATTGGTTGTTGTTTTGTTTTATTTGTTGTTTTGTTTTGCCCTGTCTTGTTTTTGTGCTTATTATTGTCTCTGCACATCTATCGACATAAGCTAGGCAGGATAAACAAGCTGGAGAAGAAAACAACAGGACCCATGGTTTGGGAGGTGGAGCATGGGAGATGGGGAGGAAGGGGAGCAAGGAAGTGAGTGTTAACAAACCCAGGGACAAAGGAACAACAAGTGACCAAAATCGATAGTGAGGAGGGCATAGGATGCCTGGTAGGACTTGATCAAGCGCAATGTAACCAAGAGGAATTACTGAAACCCGAATGAAGGTCGAACATGATGGTGGGACAGAGGAAAGTAAAAGGAAATAGAGGAAAGAACTAGGAGGCAAAAGGCACTTATAGAGGTCTAAATACAGGCATGTACATATGTAAAATACATTTTTATGAGATGGGGAAATAGATCTATGTACATATATTTATAGGTTTAGTATTAAGGTAGCAGATGGACATTGGGCCTCTACTCAAGTACTCCGTCAATTCAAGAACACTTTCTTCTAATAACCCAGCATTCTGTGATGTTCAGCTTCTCAACACGATTGCTGAAGACAAAATGGGTACATAAGCAAATGTGGTACAGAAAGCTTATGGTGCCCGGCTATCAAAAGGTATAGCGTATGGGGTCTTAAAAGGCTTGAAGATAAACAAGCAGCCATCTAGCTGAGAAGCATCACAGCCCACCTGGAAGAAGCACACCAGCCTGTGTGATCATGAGGTGTCAATGGGATCAGGTTTTGGTATCAAAGAAAAGACCCAGAACAAAAAATCATATTGATGTGAATGAGGGGGACTGCGGAGTGGAGACCCAAAACCCATCTGTAGACAATTGAACATCCCCTTATAGAAGGGTCAGGGGTTGGAGATGATCCAGTCAGGGTGCAGTATAACACCGATGAAACATACAAATTTCCTCTATTCTTTAAGGCTTTCCCCCAACCCCACTATCATGACCCCAATTCTACCTTCCAAATCTGGCTAGAGCAGAGCATGTACACTGGTACAGATAGGAGCTGGAAACACAGGGAATGCAGGACAGATAAACCCCTCAGGATTAATAATGAAAGTTGGGATACCAGGAGGGTAAGGGGAAGGTTGGGGGAAATAGGGGGAACCGATCACAATGATCAACATATAACCTCCTCCCAGGGGGACAGACAAGAGAAAAGTGGGTGAAGGGCGATATTGGTCAGTGTAAGACATGCATGAAAAAAATAATCATAAATTATCAAGGGGAGGGGAGGGAGGCTGGGGAAGGGGAGGGAAAAAATTAAGCTGATACCAAGAACTCAAGTAGAAAGAAAATGTTTTGAGAATGATGATAGCAACCGATGTACAAATGTGCTTGACGCAATGGATGTATATAGGGGCTGTGATAAGTGCTGTACGAGCTCCCAATAAAATTATTTTTAAAAGAAAGAACTGCCCCATAGGGACCCCAAGGCCGTAATCGTTACAATCACCACCCCCATCCCCCAGGGAGGGATTGCAGGGTTTAAATAGACAGCCTTTTGGTTAGCAGCCAAATGCTTTCTACTCCGCCTCAAGGACTCGCTCTTGGAGGGTGAGGCATAGAAAGGGGAAACTTTTTGTCGCTGGACAAGTTACTTAGTCAAGGGACAGAGTTCTTACTGCCGCTGCTCACGCTTAGAGGAATAATCCTCTGTTGTTGCTTTTCAGGGGGAAGGAGTTGCCTACAGAGGCAGGATCTTGGTTGAATTAAGCACTTTTCTTGAAAAGACGCCGCCAGATAAAAAGCTTGTACCCATTTCAAATGATGACCTGCTGGTTGTGGAGGTAAATGTGGGCATGGAAATAATGCATGGTGGTGGGCTGGCTGGTTGGCTTGCTTAAGGAGGCCTGGCAGGGACATCAGGGACCCAAGGGTCAGGTGTAGCAGAATTGGAGAGGGCCCCTTCTGCATCCTTTGATCTAGACGAGCCCCTTGGGGTGATAAGACTTGCTTCACTCTTTGAAATTAATAAAACCCACTGCCATGAGGTCTAGTCCAACTCATGCTGCCCCCAGGTGTTAGCGATCAGAACTGCTCCACAGGGTAGTCTCTGCGATCTCTACAGAAGCAGATGCCAGGCCTTTCTTCAGCAGCATCTCTGGATGGATCCAACTCTCCAATCTCAAGCACAAGCCATTTTCGTCACCCAGGGACCTTGTTTTAATAGTAATACCCTACTGAAAACTGCCAAGACAACCATACCCCCAGATAGAACAGCTTGCTAGCTAACTGCGGTGGCGTCGTCATGGGGAGGTGACCACAAGGGTCATCCCAGAGGGTATAGGTGCCACGACTAGTCATCTCTATAGTCAGAGGTAGCTTCCTGGCAAGGGAGGGAGTTCTTACGTGAAGGTCTCCATTACGACAGCTCTGAATTTGCACTCCTCCTTGAAGGCAGGAAGTGCAGAACAATTCCAAGTCCAGCTCCTCCACTATTTCTGGTAATCCCAGAGGATGCTTACAGGTTCCACCTGTCTGAATTGCTTTTGGGAACAGCCCATTCACTGCTGTCCCCTTTGTACTCACTCACTCACTCACTCACTCACTCACTCACTCACTCACTCACTCACTCACGGCCCTCGAGTTGGTCCTGGCTCACAGCAATCCTACAGAACAGAGTAGAACTCCCACCGTGGGTTTTTGAGACTGTAACTTTTGACTGGAGTAGAATGCTTTGTCTTTCTCCCACAGAGCGGCTAGTGGTTTTGAACTGGTGACCTTGTGGTTAGTAGCCCAATGCATAATCACTACACCTCTAGGGTTCCTTCTGCTTTTCCCAGGGCTGTTCAAATTGTTCCTGGCCCCACAAGTTTCCTCAGGCTGTTGCTATTCTCTTCTTTACCTGCCGTTCCAAGCATGGGCCAACCCTTCTTTTCCCACATCACAGCAGAGACCAAATTGTGACTTTTAAATAGCTTTGACTTTCTGAGTGCTGGAATAATAGTAGGGAAATGCACGGCACTGGGCGTCTTAGAGCGGCTCAGGCCAGCTCTCTGGGGCTCCCACAGTTGGCCTTCCATCGGACTCCATCTGCTTCCCAAGGCAGGACTCAGCCCTTCATCAGCCCCCAGCCATTATGGAGTCAGGGAAAGAGACCCAACAGAGTATAACTGGAATGCAAAACAAATCTGTTTTCTGCACTCTGAATAATGAAACATATACAGGCAATGATGCTTATGTTATGGATTTCCCTAAAAAATATGTTAAGCTATTAAAATGAGTCAGCAATCTATTTATGCTGACTCATTTATTATGTCAATCACATAAAGGAAAAGCTTTTTACCAAATGGAATACAACTCAGAATCCTATTTTTTTCTTTACTCCAAATAATTAAATACAGACAGCAAATTCGTTCATATCAATTTAATAAAAAACAAAAGTGGATTATAAAAGCAAAACACCAGAAGAGCAGCCGCATTCAAAGATAAGACCAAGAGAGGAGCTAAGATCCTCATCCTCCAAGGACCCTGGAGAGAGAGTGGGATATCAGGGCTTGAGCCACCCACATCACCTGCCAGGAAGCGTTCATGGCAAAGGGCAGAATGCAATCAAGATCTTGGTCCAGTTAGCAAAGGTCCCCGGGCCTGACCCTCACCCAACTTTCAAAACCCTGTGTTCTGAGTCTTACGTGCCAACCACGATTTCTGGTCTAGTGAAGAGGCTGCAACCAAAGGGCGACTCGGTTGCCAAAGAGCCAAGTGCTCGCCCTAGAGCTCCCAAACGGGCCTGGTCAAGTCCACAGGGCAAGAAATGCAGCCCCATCCAGCCTGGGCACTGGAATGATAGGCATCGGGCAGGTAGAAGAAGGTGACCAGGAGATGCAAATCCGGCCCCTCACACCCTTTGCTAGGCCATCGGTGGGCCCTCTTCTTTGTCCCTGGGATCTGAGTTCTGCTTCGGGATCCCCTCTTCTTGTCCAATCTTCTTGTATGTGATCTAACATATCTGGGAGTCTTTTATCAACTTGCATTCTCTCCCTTGCTCAAACAGAACCTTTTTTGAGATTCCCCCACGGGTCGGGATCACATTCACATTCTTCCCCCAGCTCCCGACTCATCAACCACCTTGGTTAACCAGCAGGGTAGTTTTCTTTGGCACATAGTTTCCTTGTCCCTGATCTCTAACACTTTATGCCTATGTGCCCACAGCCATCTGCTTCTCCTTATCAATATTCTGCTTGACAAAAATCATCTACCTGGTCAGATTTTTCTCTGAAGCGGCTTTAGACCACTTCTGTTTAGTGTGTGCACTGGCAACCAATGATCAGAGAGAGAGAGAGCGAGCGAGCCCAGGGCCCTGCATAATCAAAGAAGCACCCGCCTCTACTATACCCTATAATTTACATTCTTTAACTTTCCCATGTGCTAGGCAGTTTTGCCCCAAGACTACTAAGGGAGCACACGGAAAAAGCTGAATCTCCAAACCTCTCAAATAGTACTTTTTCTTGGTTCTTCTCTCGGCCTCTTTCAGAAGAGCAGAGGGAAGGGGTGGGGTCAAGGCAGGAGTCTCAGCGGCTCTAGTCTTTGGCCACCTGGCTCTGAGGCAGGTGAGCCAATAGAGAGACGGCTGGGGCGCTCCTCACGGACGGCTGAGATGCAAAATGGTCCACGTTGCAGCTCCTTCTGGGGCTGGTGAGAACTGTGGTGATGGCTGAAGCCTGAATCATTGTTCTTAGAGCCCAGACCTTCCAGGGTAGTGGTTCTATCAGGACTTGTGCTGGCGATGATGCCAGTTTTGCGTGCCAGGATCCAGGGGGTACCACTGCCCATGTGGAGATGCTCAGGACACAGCCCATACAGAGGCTGCATCCTCCCCCAACCTCAAGGTGCCTCCCCTGTCCCTCCTACCCACCCCTACCTTGCCAGGTGACTACCACCATGGGTCGGAACCAACTCAACGGCAACTAACAGCAACAATTTCCTTCTGGGCCCGGACTCAGGCCCCGGAGTACGCGTCATATTTTTCAGCTCATGCTCGGCCATCACCCTGGGTTGTTTGCAAAGAAGAAGTTACGTTGGCAATGTCAATTCTAACGAATCCAAATCCCTTCCTACTTTGTCATTTTTGTACAACAATTCACACTCCAACCCTGAATTGCCACAGCAAGCCTGAAGGATGGATAGTCTGAGGGGCTCCGTGGTGGGAGTTTCGAATGAGTGAAGTGGTCAAAAGGCCCCCAAGCTCACCTCCATCACAAGCGCCAGTACAACAGTGCTTTCCCACCTTCCACCTGGGCCTCCGCAGGGACGTGTTGAAACTCACAGTGCCCTAGTAGAATCGTGGCGGCCGGGCCCAGGGAATAAATATACGTAGAATTTCAGTGCACAGCTCAAGTGGAAAGGCAATATTTTAGAACGCCTGTAGAAAAGCCTTGACCCTCGGGGGTTCTGACGAAACTCTCCCTGGAGGTTCTACTAGAATATGCCAGAGAACAGCCCCGTCGCCAAGATGGAAAGTTTGTAATCTTGGGATGCCAGGCCCCATGCTGCAGGCCTTGTCCACGGTTCTCGAAACAGTCGTCTGACCACTTCTGGAGGTGAATGACCACATTCTTGCCTCATCCTTGCTGGAGGGCCTCCACATGGTATTCTGATTCATTTTATGGACTAAAGGCCACTGTCTGGCAGGGTACTGAGGAGAGGGGCATCAATCAGTGTCATGAGAAACCAAACTCCCTGCCATGGAGTCGATGCTGACTCATGACGGCCCTGTCGGACAGGGTGGCACTGTCCCTGTGGGTTCCTGCGAGTGTGATTCTTTACGGGAGTAGAAAGCCTCGTCTTTCTCCTGCAGAGTGGCTGGACGTACCAATCCACCGACCTTGTGGTTAGTGGCCCAATGCATCACCACTATGCCAGGGCTCCTCTCAGATACCCTATAGGGACCAAGTAATTTTTGTTTCTGTCCTCGAGATACTAATTTTTATTAGTCTCCTAGTCATGTCCTACTTTACTACTTAGATTGTGTGACACAAACTGGTCACTAGGTAGCCGTGGGTACAACAAGTCATGTGCCAGAATTTTCCCCCAACGGGGCCTCTGAAGCACAAAAACGCAAGACTACAAAGCTGAGACCTCCTTCTCCAGGGGCTTTCAAACTCGATTTCCTAGGGTGAGAAATTTCTCAAGCCATTTGAGAATGATCATGTGTGGTTCTCACAAGTTCACTTGTGGTGCGCATGGCCAGTGGGGCTAGGCTGTAGTAGCCGCTGATGTCTGACCCCCAAAGCGGGTTAGCAGACAGAGAAACCGGATACCACTGGGGTTCCAGAACTAATGCTGGACGCGGATAATAGGAAAACGTTAAACGGTAGGTGTGAGGATACGTATGAAGTGCGGTTTCGAGAGCCTTTGCGTAGCTCTCACGGATGGAAGAAGGCAGAGTTACCAAAGGCCAGTAGGGATGTGGCTCAGAAAGGCGGCATGATGGCGAGCAAGGGCTCCTGGGCCAGCGGTGACTTCAGGAGATCTGATGCGCCCACAGAGGGAAGGACTGAAGGGTTCATGGTCAGTCCTGTTCGCTGGATCCTTAGGGGTATGGTTGTGGGCCCCGTCTTCAACTCCCTCGTCCCCCACCCCCCATGCCTATAGTAACTAGTAATGAAAGGAAGAAGAGAAAATGTGAAAAGATGTTTGATTCCTATTGCAAAGAAACGTCCACCTGTTTTCACTTATTTTAAAATATGACATTAAAGATCTTCAGTGTTGCCCCTAATTAGAAAATTATGATGCTTAAAGACTTGAAATCATACAGAAACATGTGAGTTAAAAAGTAAAGGTCACCATACTCCTCTACTTGCCCCAACATCATAACTCTGAACAAGTTGGTTCATTGTCTTCCAGGTTTTCTACACGTAGATAATATTAAAAAGTGGATTAATTAAAAATCAACTTTTATTTTCATGTTGGCATCTGTGGATCTACCGCCTCCTTTCTATGAACTCGCTGTCCATGATGTGGACATAGCGTAATTTCTGGGCTTTCAAGTGACTCCAGTTTGGCTCCTGCTGAGAATTTGCATTTCTGCCCCCACTAGACTTAATCTGATTCTCCATGTTAACAGGATTGCCAGGAGAGTCTTACGTGCACATTAGAATGGACATGAACTTGCAAAGCCCTGCACGATTTGTTTAACCAGTCGCCTATTTGGGGATATTTGTTTTCAAAAATTTTCTTTTACTCATTAAAAAAAATACATGACAAAATAATAATTTATAAATTATCAAGGGTTCATGGGGGGCGGGTGCAGGGAAGGAGGGGAAGATGAGGAGCTGATACCAAGGGCTCAAGTAGAAAGCAAATGTTTTGAGAATGATGAGGGCAACAAATGTACAAATGTGCTTGACACAAGGGATGTGTGTATGGATTGTGATGAGTTGTACGAGCCCCCAAGATCATGATTAAAAATAAAATACTGGCACTAATAGATTTGCCTGCTTGTAGGCTGGGGCTTCAGAAAGTTCAGGGGGACCTTGAATGCAAGGACAATGGTATTTTTTCAGAAACTTTTCGAAGCCCCCTTATATGAGTACAAGGGGAACTGCAGGCTCAAGACCATTCTCCACTGGTATTGAGTTCAGGACACACTGTTGGGTTCAGAATTACATCGGCCAAACTTCCGGGCATTGAGCCCATTCAAACTTGTAGGCAAGCCTGTAGGACCAAGTAGAACTGCCCATAGGCTTCCCAAGGTTGTCAATCTTTGGAGAAGCAGACTACCGCCGCTTTCTCCCATAGAACAGTTGCTGGGTTCAAGCTACCAACCTCTCGGTCAGCAGTCGAACTCTTCACCACTGGACGTCCAGGGCTCCTCTATTTACTGGAAACCCACATGTAAATATGGGCAAAGGGGGTTCAAGCTGAGCTTTATGTTTGTCTGACTTTGTAGAAATATCAACGAAGGCGGAAGTATTGCCTCTCCGCCGTGTTCCATTCTGCCACCATGTTGCAAGATGTTGGCGAGGCCATTCAGTTTGAAGTCAGCATCGGGAACTACGGCAACAAGTTTGACACGACTTGTAAGCCTTTGGCGTCAACGACTCAGTACAGCCGCGCCATATTTGATGGTAAGAATGACCCCAGCCCTTCTCTCTTGTGCACATTTACAGAGAATGTGCTGCCGGCCCGAAGCACGCACCAGCTTCTCCCATGGATGCGCGTAATCCCCAGTCTATGATTAACCAAAAAGCCAGTTGAAGTTGAGTCCACCTTGACTCAGGCGACTCCATGTGTGTCAGAGGATAACTGCCCCTCATACGGGTTTCAAGAGCTGGTGTTTGGAAGTAGATCACCAGGTCCTCCAAGGTTAATCTCCAAATTTTAGTTAACAGCCGAGACCATGAACCTTTGGTACGTTCCAGGAACTCCGGAATAGGATTAGTGGAAAGGAAAAGGCTGCATGAGGAAGAGAGCCTGGTCGGAGTTCAGTCACCTGTGTTTCTGGCCAAGCCTGTCAAAGTTGGAGGCTCTCTGCCCCGTTCTGCCTCGGGAATTCATCTGATGGTGAATCTGGTGAACACCCGGCTTCCCGAAAGAGCCCCTCCCTGCCCACCTCTGCCCTACCAGGCCCTGAATCTTAGGGCGAGTAGTTGGAGTGGATGGGGCATGGGCTTAGGCACTGGAAAATTGAACTTCTGGTCATTCTTACTCACCAGCACTCTGACCAGCGTTGCCTCGGGACATCATTACTGCCTTGAACAAACATGAACAGAACATTCCTGCTTTATAGCCCGTGGGATGAATCATCGTAGACTTCAGCGTATGAGAGGGCCCAATGAAGGTCTTGTCAGATGCTTTGAGGAGATAGAGAACAGAGAATTTCTGGTCCAGGTGTCGCATTGCCTTATAAACTTTTTATATAAGCAGTTTTTAAAATACACCATGCCCTAGAAAACATCAGCTCATTCTTAACCACAATGGTTCCCTGGTCATACCATGTGCCCAGCTAAAGCTCTTCAAGAATCTTAAATCATTTTCTCGCACCCCATTTCCAACAAAAATATCTATTTTAGGATCACAGTGTCTAAATTTTCCTGATTTCTTATGGCCTCTCCTTTCTGTTGCCCTGTTGCGCAATCATCATTGATGTTCAGACGCAGAGCCCGGACTCGTTAAAGATCTCAAGGTTGTCCTCAGTGTACAGGGTATTTGAGAGAAATTTTCAAAGCAGGCCTAATGAAAAAGAACTTTGCGCTCTCCCCCATTGCTTGTCTCGTAAAACGAAAACCGCAAAATCCCCCAAGTACTGGATTAATCCATAGCCCCGATGGCACAGCTCTTGAATGGATGCATTGTGTGTGCTAAATGTCTGGTTTTCCCTGTCTCGTGTTTTGCACCAGGGAACTACTACTACTACTTGTCGTGGGCCCACACGAAGCCAGTTGTCACCCTGACTTCCTACTGGGAGGATATTAGCCATCGCCTGGATGCAGTCAACATGCTCCTGCTTATGGTGGACCGGCTGGTAAGCTGATCCTGTCTACATCCCCCTTTCACCAGGCGGAGCAAGGGCGACAATCACAATCAACGAGTCAATGAGATCAAGGGGATGTGCTTTGTGATAGGCTGGTTTGGAGGCTGTGTCCTGTTAGGGACCCAGAACCTTCCCCCTTTTGCTCTGCCATCCAGCGTGCCTCATTATTACCTGTGTGGTAGAAGACAGCTCACATCAAATCTACCCTTCAGCCCGAGGGAAGAGGAAAAGCGAGGGAGGGAAGACAATGTAGCCGACATTGCCCTCGAGGGGAAATCTCCCAACGTCACTCATGATTTCTCCTCTTTTTTCCTTGGCCAGCATCCAGTCATACAGCCATACCTAACTGCAGGGAAGTGGGGCAATGCAGCCGTGTACCTGGACGGGCACTTGCCTAGATAAGATGTCTATTAATAGGCCCAGGAGGCGGGTGGGTTCACATCTGCTTTCTGTTCCCGTTTGTGTGTGCCGTGTGTGCCGCGGGTCGAGCAAAGTGAGCCACTCTAACAACAAGATGAACCCCGTCGTGCTGTGCACTGACTGCTGTAGATCCCTGCCGAGGAGGGTAATCATGACAACCCCGATTCTTATGCACATTGTGTCAATTTCCCCCCCCCCATAAGATCCTCCACGATTATGTTTGTCTCCAAATCAGAAAGCCACCCAGAGCCACCCACTGTAGTCAGCTGCCGTGTTTCCTGGTTCCCCTCCCGTTGAGGACGGCTCTTCTGTCCGTCTTTGCTTTGTGTCTTTGATAGTCTGGGAAAGACCTCGTTTTGTGTGGTGTTTCTGATGACATAGACGCTGGACAGTTTTGTCATGAGTAACATGGACGTGATGGTGTGGCCATTTCTGGGTCCTTTGTGTGCATGACGTCAGGATAAGTGACAGAAGGAGCCCCGGGGGCCACAACCGTTAAGGGCTTGGGTGCTAACTGAAAGATTGGTGGTTTGAATCCACCCAGCACAGAAGAAGGAGCCGGCAATCTCCTTCATAAAGAATACATCTATGGATGGTAATCATATCTGTGAAAGCTCCCAATAACATGTTAAAGAAAAGACATCCGCTCCCATTAGGAGTGCCAAACGTCAACCCAAACTCCCCACTCCGCACCACCAAGTTGGTTACCTGTTGGGTGGCTCGCCTCAGGCGTCAGTTCAAACCCCAAAGCTGCGCCATGGGTGAAAGATGAGGCTGACTACTTACTCCCTTTGAGCGCTGCACTCTCGGAAAGGCCGAGGGGCCTTTGTCCTCTGTCCCTGCGGAAGCCACTGCCATAAAATCAGTTCTAACTCAGGGTGGAGTAGAACGATTCCTAGGTTTTCTGAGGCCGAAGAATAGATTTTTATGTGAGCGCAAGCCTCATCTTTCTCCCCCAAAGAGCACGGTGAGTTCAAACTGCTGACCTTAGGGTCAGCGGCCCCACGTATAACCTACTACACTACGGAGATGCCTGCCTGTGGAGGGACAGCGAGGCAGTTCTGCTCTGTCACGTGGGGGCACTGTGAGTCAGAGTTGACTCCCTGGCACCCAACAACTGCAGACCAGGATGCACATGACATCCTTTTGTCTCTTTTTTTGTCGCGCTTTGTTGCTGTTTGTGCTGTTGGATCAATTTCAACACATGGCAACTTGATAGGGCCGAGGAGAGCCGCCCTCGAGGGCTTCCTGGTCTGTGATCTTTGAGGGAACAGATCACCAGGTGTCTGCTCTGGAGCCCCTGGCGAGTTGGGATCCCTGACCCTTTGGTGATCAGTAAGCACTCAGCCATTGTGTCCCCTGGGCTTGCTTCATCCCCTGATTTGTGACAATAATTTTGACTTCTGGGGTAAAGTGGTGCCCATACTGCTTCATTTCGTTTGTTTTCTCATAATTACTAAGCAACCTGTGGCACGTAGACTATTCCTCATCAAACGTTCCTCCATTAACTTTAACATCCATCGGTGATTCTTGCTTAAATCAAGTTCTACTGCGATGGTTGCAAATGGTCATATTTATACTCAATTCTACATCTACTTGTCAGTAATTCCTCCTCTTTTTCTTTCCACTTCCTTATTTTTATTTAGTATTTTATATATTAGAAAGGACTCGTGAATTTTTATTTTACTGAAGAAGATAAATATTTAAAAAATAAGATTACTAGAAACAATCTCATTATTCAGTTTTGATGTTTAAATTGCCCCAGATTTGGTTCAGAGAGAAGGGTCCTTTCAAACTGACTCTGTTCTTTGTATGCAATTTTTTTTTTTAGTATACTATAAATATTTTTTTAGTACTTCCTTGATAGTTTGTTCATTTTTTAACTCAAAATGAGAAGTCCTTTCACGGAATATTTTTATTTCTGACTTCTATACTTTCTCCTCTTACACTAATTACTATTATTACTAATACAACAAAATCTTTTCCATTGCCTCATCTTATACTTCTCCTGTGTCAGCCCTGGAATTCCCATGTCTCCAAGGAGCTGTGTTTCCTTTTCGTGGGAAATGACATTGAAAAGCCCAAGTTGGGGCACTAGACGTGCCTCCTACTACTAGAGGTTCCCTGCTTCGGGACCTTCTCAGCAGCTGAGCTTGGACACCTCCACACACGACTGGATTGGTGTCGGTAGCTACTGATACACTGAAAGTCTGGGGTTTGTAAGAACATCTCCAAATGTCAGCCCAGTGCTATAGTTTATTCTAATCTGTCCACTTTCTGTATTTCCGACTCCTGTCTCCAACACTGAGAAACCCAATTCCTGTTATCCTCGGCATGTTTTGCTCATTATCCAACCCTGAAATCCACTACTCAGAGAAACGGCTGCATTAATGGAACTTGATATGTTTATGACTGGCTTTTTTGCCTTTAAACCGAGGATGTATCTTCAAGATGGTGTGTTTAAAATTTGCATAGGTTCTAGCTAGGTATAAGATTTATTTAAAATATAGTTCGAGTCATTTGCTTTTATAGATAGTTGACTTTAGGCTTCTTTTTCTCCCAGCCTTGCTGGTTATAATTAATTTAATTTCCCCCCTGAATGTATAACTGTGTACATCGTTTTCAAAGTTCCAAATGGGGAAAACTTATTTGTTGCTTAAAGATCTCGATGTGGACGACAGTCTGGAGAAAAATAAATGGCACAAAGCTTTGGGAGTGCTCTCAAGGGTGAAGAACTTCTAATATCTTTGCTAGTAAGCCTTTTAGTATATTTTCCTCAAAAACAAAATGAAGCCCAGGAATAATGGAAAATAAGGTCACCACGCTCAATGATCGAGTCTTTCTTCTTCCTCCAACTTCTTCAGCAATCAAACATCGAGGCTCTAAAATCAGGACTGCAAAGTAAAATTCCTGCGAACCAGCTGGCCGAGGTGTGGTGGAAGCTGATAGATGAAGTTATAGAAGACACCAGGTATCGTGCTCTTGTGTGTAACGCAGAATTCCTACTTCTGCTCTCCTCCCTTAAACTACCTGAGCCTCTAGAGTGGTTTGTAGTGTTGGCCTGAAAAGTGAATTTGAACCATTCAAGCTTCTTCTCAAACCTCACTGTGAAAGGGTAGAACTGCCCCTTCCAAGACTATAACTCTTTTTTTTTTAAACATCTAGAGAGACATTTATTAAGTCTTAATCAGAACAAAGACACAAGACCTGTCGCCCCGAGCAGGGAGACCATCCTCACTTGGCCCCCAACATTGGCTACTTAAACAGGTCATGCAAAACAAAGGAAACTGCCACCAATCATGACCGGTGACAGATCCGCTTCTCACAGTATAACTCTTGCTGGGAGTAGACAGCTTCATCTTTCTCCTGCCGAGCAGCCAGTGGATTCGAAATGCAGACCTGGCAGTTAGCCATCCCACGGACCGGTCACCCACGACACCACCAGGGTTCCTTATTCAAGCTTGGTGAGCAGTCTTAACTAGGAGTTGCCCCTGGGCACCCCCAGGGAAAGCTGCACTTTTTGATGGGGTGGCAATTCTAAAGCAGAAGAGGAGGAAGCTAAGCCTGGCCCCCTCCAGAAAGCACCTCTTCCAGCAACCTTGGGGGCAAGGAGTCTAAGGGAAGCGTGGCCCAGGTCTCTTGTGCTTCCTGTCCGTCTGTCCGTGTGTGCCCTTCAGCCCTGTAGAAAGTTGACGGCCGGCTCCCACCGAAAATGAGACCCGGGGGCGGAGCATTCTGCACAATGCTCCTACTTCATAAATTTATTTTTAGAAATAATCTTTCCACTTGTTCGCTTACTGAACTATGCCTGGTGAACTTTCTGTCCCAGTCTCCACTAGTAGTCTGGTTGGGCAGGAACCAGAGGGCTTCTCACAACCCTGACTTGGGAGAACAGCTCAGATCTTCTGGCCTTTGGAAAGCAAAGGGGAAATGATTCATTTCAAAGTCATTTTAAATATTGACCAAGAAAGTGGTAGACGGGGAAGTTCCAAAGGAAAAGCGTCTTGAGTCCTTCTCACTGGAAGAACCATGGACGTGTTTTGCTGTTGGTCCAGTGCCCTCCACCTTCCTATCTTCTTGCGCCCTCTAGTGGCTGAAGTTGGTAACGGACGTGTAGCTGGCATCGAAATACCTTTGGGATCTTGGAGTATGTTAGAAGTGGCTCATCTTTTGCCGTCTCCTCATTTTATAGATGGGAAAACAGAGCCCCCATAAGCGGAAATGCCCTGTCGGATGTCCGGAGTCAGACTTACCCATGCATTTCCTCTTTCTGTGACTCACTTCTCACAGTCAACCTCTGGGGATTGAGGGGCTCGCTTGTGACTTTTGTATAGATATTCTGTATATATATATTTTGCCTTAAAAGGATCAGTGCAGGGACTTAATCCTTCAAGTGTCATCTAAATTATTAATCTCACTAAATAAAAATATTTGCTCATGACGTTCATATGGGAAATGTCTGCCAAATGTAAAATTTACTGAGCAAAGCCACAAACATGCCTGCTTGCACTTGTGATGTAAATTGCCTTTGAAGAATCAAAGTGGAATATTTGAGCTTTCTATAGCAGGGAATTTGGTCCTTAGGGGAAATCCCTCCGGGATTCCTACCATTGAAGAATAGCCGTGCATTGTAGGTAGGGAGAATCTGCTGTTGGTGACATCGACGCCCTGTGACCCATCACCTGTCATGATGGAGGGCAGCCCAGGCAGCAGAGGGTGGATTCTGGTCCCAGGTCTGCTGTTTCCCATGATCTTTGTGGTCTCTCCACTATACTTGCCAGTTCTTCTTGGGAATTGGGGGGTGGCCCCCACACGTGGTTCATCACTGTTTTTAAACTCATGGGCCCCTTTGAGAATCTGTTGAAAGGAGGATCATGATGCAATGATGTGATCGCGAAGGGAATGCTACTTAAACTGGACTGTGCAGCAGGCTGGATTCTAAATCCTCTCTGGCTAGTCATTCATTTACTCCTCACAGCAAACCAAAAAGGTAGATATCACTACCCCAAATTTGAAAACAGAAAAACAAGGGATGAAGTCGCTACTTTTGTCAGGCTCACACAATTAGTCAAGGAGGGAGACAAGATTGGTACCCAGGGCATTGGCCCAAAGCCTGAGTTCTTGCTCAGTCCACTGCACGCTGATCCAGGCACACACATTTCTTTAGAAGTTCTAAGGATGCACAGGCTTCCTACCCATGAACTGCCCTAGGTCCCCAAGCTAATCCCCTTCAGTGAGTGATCTCTAATCTCCCAGCCGCCTCTCTCACTTTGTGGGTCTCTACGGTGATTCGAAGACTCAAAAGAAGGGAAGCTCTAGTATCTCAGCCGCGGCTATGTTTCCATAGTCTTTCCGGTCACTCCAGCGACCTTAGGCCAAAGGCAATGAGATTTTAATCCTCTTGCCTTCCTCATAAGAGTTCCCCAACCCAGTGCTACTGATTCTAACTCACAGTCATTCTACAGGACAAAGTAGAACTGCCCCCAGAGAGTTTCTAGGGCTGCAAATCAGGGGTAGGGAAGGAACATCGAACCCACGGGCCCCAGAAGGCCTGCGAACTCCTCAGTGCCAGCTAACGTCACATGCCTCACTACAGAGAAGACTATCCAGCCATCACTCTGAGGATGAGTTCATTACATGTCTGACCAAACACAGCAGGCCAGTTTTTAAAAGGGATCATGTTGCAGGGCTAGTGAATGTTCAAACTATCCAAATGGCCCCTGGCAGGAAAAAAAGTCCTGCACCCCAGCTATCAATCAAACGGAACCACCTGGGTCTGAGCCGGCGATCTTTTGGTTAGCAGCAGGGGGCCGAGCCCCTGTGCCCAGCAGGGCTCCTAGGGTCCTTGCTGACTTGAGTGCGAGGGGCCCTGGAGTTGATTCCAACTCATACGCACCGTGTGGAAAACACAACCCAGGAAGGCCTCGTCTTGGGCCTTCCTCACAATTGCTGGGTGTGATCCCATTGTTGTAGCCCTGGTGTCGATCCATCTCAATGTGGCATGGTGTCCTTCCCCAGGAACTGGTCCCTGCTGATAACTTGTCTAAACTGCCTAACCCAAAGTGAGAGGAGATTCTAGGTGGAAGGCTTGCTCTGCCAAGGCCATGGCCATTTAGGAAAGAGCCAGTTAGGTGTGCAAGCTGGAAAGCAAACTAAGTAAATTGGACAGTTCTGAAGCCCTACTTCCCTGTTGATGTAGTTAGTGTATTGTGCCAACCTGACCGATAAACACATGTGGGGTTAATTGAAGGGCGGAGGGATAAATGGCTCAGCGAGCCTCGCCTTTCTAGTTCTCAGGTCTCTTGCTTTGTGATGGTTGGACCAGGGTGCAGCTGCCTTAGCCAGTTCCCTGCTGCAGCTTGCAAGGCTCACTTCCTGCAAGACATCCCCAAGGAGAAGCCACATGGACCTACCCCGATGCAGCCCTGTGTGCTGGAGCACCCATGTGGAGACCCCTGCCAGTGCTGAGATGCTTACACATTCACTGGTTCGGCTTTCCTCCTGCACTCAGCGTCGTAGTGTGTGTTTTGTGAGATGCAGGAGGACTTTGTGGATTGGTGTTGGACATATGGCTTAATGGGTTAATGTTGGACTCATGGCCTTGGGCAGCACTAGGTTGGGATGTTTTCTTGATTTGCACTTAACCTTTATATAAAACTCTCTCATACATGAGTTTCTGTGGGTTTGTTTCTCTAAAGTACCCACACTAACACACCCGTGTCTTTCTCTCTAGATACACTTTGCCTCTCGCAGAAGGAAAACCTAACATCACAGTCCTCGATACTCAGATCCAGAAGCTGCGGTGCAGGTCTCTCTCCCAGATACACGCGGCAGCCGTGAGGATGAGGTCTGGAGACACAGACGTGAAATCGGCCTTGAGTGAAGTGGAGGACTGGCTTCATAAGTTAATGCAACTGTCTGAAGAGGTGGGCCTTGGAGTCTCCTTGAACATGGCCTCTTAGGGACTGGCGTCAAGGAGGGGTGCGATTGAGGAGTCTAGAGCATTACTTTGCATACTAAGCCGATCGGAGGGATGATGAAGTAAAAGAATTACAGGCTCGGGAGTGTGTCATGGGCTGAAAGTCACTGACGTCAGGACAGGAGAGGAATTCTGCATTGGGAACTGATCTGTCTTGGAAGACGTAAGGCCAACGTGTTCCTTCGAGACAAGGACTTTGTCTTACATACCCTGGACATGTTAGGAGGAGAGGTCAGTCGCTGGAGAAGGACGTCATGCTTGGGAAGGTGGAAGGGCGGCAAAAAGAGGACGGTCCGCATTGCGAGGGCTTGACCCAGTGGCTGCATCCGGTGGCCCGGGCCCAGGAACAATCCTGAGGATGGCACAGGACCAGGCAGTGTTTCGTTGTGGTGCATGGGGTCACTATGGGTCGTAGTTGATGCCCTGGCACCTGACAACCACCACAACCGCTCTGGGATGATAAAGAATCATTCTCATGGGCCAGTCATAAATATTCCAGGTCAAGAGCTGAAGCAGCAGACCCGTGGAACGTGCAAACGCCCGCTTTGGTCAGAGTGGGCAGGAGCTGGATGACCATCCGAGCTGCTCCGCCTGGGTCTGCTCCGCCTGATGGCTGCCGATGCTCCAACGATGCAGGAATGATGTGCTGTTAGCTCCCTAGGACGCAGTGTTCAACCCCGTGACCTGCCCGGCAGAGTAGACCTGCTGGACAGGGTCTTCCAGCTCTTGCGGATTCTTCAAGGGAGGAGAGTGCCCGGTCTTTCTCCCATAGGGAGGAGGCCTGGTGGCGTAGTGGTTACAGCCTGGGCTGCCATCAGCAAGGTTTGAAGCTTGAAACCACCGGCCGCTTCCCGGGACAAAGATGGGCTTTCTGATCCTGTAAATAGTTACAGTCTCGGAAACTCACAGGGGCAGTTCTACCCTGTCCTATAGGGTCGCTGAGAGTCCCCATCGACTTTTTGGGTTCTCCCACAGAAGCACTGGGTGGGTTCAAACTGCCAACCTTTAAATTAGCAGTTGAGCCCTTGACCATTGCTTAATCTAGGGCTCCTTACTAGGTGAGGGGAGAGAAGGGGCATTTCAAAACATACCCTCCGAGCTCAGTAGGTGGGGCTTGGAGTTGATTAAACTGCCCCCCCTGCTCCCCTCCATCCCTTTGGCTAGCTGGCTGCAGCCTGCCTCCCAGCCTCCCCAGTCGCGGCACTAGAATAGGTGAGTCTCAAGAATTTGGGCCAGAATGCTAGCTATCGGTTCTCCGCCGGTTTGAGCTGCGGCCTCTCTACTCCCTCAACATGTAGACTAATCCTAGCTTTCCATCCTTTTCTGCCCCTCGGCGCGAGCAGCCCCAAAACAGCATGCCTGACATCATCATCTGGATGATCCGGGGAGAGAAAAGACTGGCCTACGCGCGCATCCCGGCCCACCGGGTCCTCTATTCCACCGGCGGTGAGAGCGCTTCTGGCAAACACTGTGGGAAAACCCAGACCATCTTCCTGAAGGTACGCATCTTCCTGCCGGCGCGCCTGAGATGCTTAGCGGTAAACCCGTGTCTCCAGAAGGGGCTGCTCTGTAATTGGCCGCTCATAGGATTAAGACGATCCTGATCAATCCTAGTGCATTCTGGGCCCGCCCTCTGGGGCAGGAAGGTCACCGAGGACACCACAGTAGACATCTGTGTGACGTTAATATTAACTGGGCATGGTGAATGCTTCATTGTTCTGATGAGCATTTTCCCTTATTTGTAACGTGTTCTCCAAAGCAAATACCTTTCTTTCTTCGTTCTCGTGAGTGTAACGTCTTCTCCAAAGCAAATACCTTTCTTTCTTTGTTCTCGTGAGTGGGAAGGAGAAAACAAGCAAAGCTAGTTTGCATGACTCTTTTAGCCCGTGGTGTCTATTGCCTTAATCAAAGAGGCCCTCGCATTAGGAAGTTCTGAATCTGTTTAGAGTCATGGTCTCTGTTGTAAACGCCGAGTGAAAGCTACAGGCCATCGGCTCCAGAAGAATGGCCAAGAGACATTTATTCAAGTTTCTGAAAATGTTTCAGGAGCTTTAGAAAATTCCTAAGTCCACCCCAGGACATCCCTCCGCCTGCATTGAGAGTTCGGCTTTAATTGTGCATACGGAGAACCCACGGGCCTGGAGCTGCAGACAAAGACATGGGAGGATTCTGCCTGCACATTTGACGTCTTCTCCCGGGCCACCCCCACCGAGGTCTTCGATTCTGCAGAGTCCAGAGAGAAAGGCTGGAGAACACGTGGTATCAGGGCAGAGTGTTCTCTTAATGCAAGGAGCTCTCTGACAGCTTTCAATGCACAGGTTCCCCCGAGAACGAATGACAAGATAATTGGATGAGTCCACAAAGGTTTTGAAGGCCTTTCAATGGACTCTTTGCTTCTCACTCAGAGAATGGACATAGAAGCACCATGATGGTCTTCTCTCAAGTGTCTCCCAGCCTCCCGAATACCCATGGCCATCCAGTTGACCCACGGTGATCCATAGGGATTCTGACTCATAGTGATCCAAAGGGTTTCTGAGGCTATAAATCTTTATAGGAACAGAGAGCCTCCACTTTCTGCTGAGAAGCAGCTGGTGCATTTGAACCACCTACCTTGTACTTATCCCTCCAATGAGGAACCCACTCCACTACCAGGGCTCCGATTCCCGTGTCTCTCAGTGGAATAGATTTTACTTAAGACAGAACTTCAGTTAAAATGGATTTCAACCATGGGTGGAAATAGACTAATTCGCTCCTAAGACGAGTGGATGGGAGAGAAGATTAGCGTGGATTCTCTGTGAGGTTTGGGTACTTAGGTTAGGGGATGGGCAGCAGAAAGCTCTCTGAAGGATGCTTTGTGTATTTGGGGATCCTGTCAGTGCTCGCAGTATACAGCTTGGACAACCAGTGCTTTAATTCAGGGCTCCTTGAAAACCACCGAGGACTTCACAGAGATTTTGCTTATGTCACTTACTCTCCATGATCATGGAAATCCAAATAGACACATTTCAAATCTTGGATTAGTTAGTTTTAAAATAACAATAACAAGTCCAACATGTGCAATCACAAGTTATGTATTGTCATAAAATGTAACTTAAAAATTCATTGGTTTAACAGAAAATAATCAGATATTCATTTCTACTTCTGCACTTACTCTGCATTTCATATATGCATCTGCATTTAATATGTTTGGTTTTTTTCGGTTGAAGTGTATGAAGACAATCGGCTTCCCGTGGGTTTGTGGCTGGAAATGGGAGCGCGATTTAATAACCCTTTCTGCAGATGGTAGTGGGTGGTCAGTTTTGCTACCACCCCAAACTCAAGAGGTAGTAGTTTTTAAAGGGTTCACTCTGATGACTCTGAATTCCATCATTAAGCAGCTGCATTCAAATCCATCACAACTAAAACCCAAACAAAGCCAGGTCCACTGGTCTCTCTGGCACTTGGAGTGGCTCTGTCGTCCATTCGTGATTTTGGAGCATCCAGTCTCGAGCATTTGGAAACTGGGCTCACTGAATCATGGCGCTCTTCCTAAGGTTGACCTTGACCTTCCAAGACACATGTTAAGAGCCCACTGGTTAAAATCACCACCCCGCTTCTCAGAAACGTCTTGATGGAGCGGCAAGCTATCGGGCTCACTGGGGCAAGTTTTCTAAAATGCTAGTGTTTTCTCCAAAGCTTGAACGTCGTCGTTGTTGGTGGCAACAAATACAGTCCGTTCTTCTTCATGAGGTGACAAGCTCATTTTATGTTCTAGTACATCCTGCCCTCCACCCAAGTTTCAATAGTGGCTCCCAGTCAGTGTTTCAAATAAAAATAATATTCCATTACAATGAACAGAACAAAACAACTCACCAATTCAGCTCGCAGCTCAGACGATGGCACAAGAGCGTCGTTGCAAGACCGCTTCCACTCAGCCTCTGAAATATCGTCAAAGCATTTTGTACCATTTGCTCCCACTACACAAAATACTCAAGGTCAAAAGGTAATGATAGATCATTTTTACTGCTTCATGGAGAGCATCCTTAAGTAAAACGGGTCGTCTGGATTTTTTTTACACTGAGAATGAATAGGGGTGAAGAACATAGTTGCTATTGAAGCAATTTCCTGCCACTGCCTTGATTGACCTACTAAGTCAGCGGTTCTCAACCTATGGTTCGTGACCCCTTTGGGGGGTCAAATGACCCTTTCACAGGGTCACCCAATTCATAACAGTAGCAAAATGACAGTGATGAAGTAGCAAAAAAAATCATTTTGCGGTTGGGGGGGTCACCACCACATGAGGAACTGTATGAAAGGGTGGTGGCATTAGGAAGGTTGAGAACCACTGTCCCGAGCCATCAAGAATTGCAGCCACCATGGCTCTGCAGCAGCGCCGCAAATGGCATGACTGTGAAAAGGCATGTAGCATCTTCCCATTCCGGATGAAAATGCTTTGAGCCCTGTGGACCTGGAAAGTCTTTGAGGCTCGGGGGTCTCTCTGTGGCCTGTGCTTAGAGACCCAGCGTTCCGGTTGCCTCTTTCATCTTCACTGTAAGCTCGTTTGTGAATGTTTTGAGCCAGCAAACGTGGCATTTGACTGGTGACAGCAATGCTTAGATTTTCCATTTGCTTTCACGTCACGGCCCAGTCGGTGTGGTGCCCGGGGTAACGTGTTATTGGCATCTCCCAGTACCCACAGGAGAAAAGCAACGGGCCCCGGGTGCCCGTGGAGCTGCGCGTGAACATCTGGCTGGGCTTAAGTACTGTGGAGAAGAAGTTTAATAGCTTCGCGGAAGGAACGTTCACCGTCTTTGCTGAAATGGTACGTTGCTTTTGTTTGTTTTTATTGGGATCCCCCTCTTTTCCTTTGGGGGACTACTTTTTAACTTTTCATTCTTGGGGAAACTATTCATAGCCATCAGCAACCTTCATCCTCGCCGACACCGGGAAGCTCACTCAAGGAATCTTACATTAGAGAGGCAGGAAAAGGTTGCCGTGGGATTTTGCTGTCAATATTGGGATTCATCCGTAAGGGACTAATGCCTTTCTGTCACAATTCTCAGAGGTGACAGCCACCCTGACCTCACTAGCAGTGGTCAAAGGGTTTCTCTTGCAGCTCTCAGCACTGAGACACTAAGTAGCCATCTACCAGGGACTGCGTGTTTGATGTGTATGGACATGTGCCTCCAGCGATCCGGGAATGGGCTGGCGAGAATCTCTGACCTTGAGAGCGATGGTCTTTACACCAAAGATAACTCATTCCTCACTCAGGTGAAGCCTCATGTTGGCTGACTGCACAGCCCCTCCCCCTCCAAAAAAAGGCTACCTGACTCCTTCTAGATCAACAGAGATCATTTATTGTAAATTTATTGACTGGAAAACCCACTCGTTGAAAAAACAAAATAGGATTTTAAAAGTCTCCTGGCAATCAAACTGATTGGGAAAAAAAAAAGTTCTTAACTTGTAAAATTAAAAGCAGAGATATTTTTTGTTTTTTAATGCATTGTTTTTAACTCACAGCACGTTTTGGGTGAAATGGATTCGATGCATGCTAGTGGATGACTCCTGACCACTCTCAGATGAGCGGATTCTGCAGCTGGGTCTCTGTGGGCAGATCAGGAGAGAGGGGCTGATGTCCATTCTGTTTACTCTAGCATGTGCTCCTGGGACCCGCCTCTATAGCTGTCAGCTGGTTCGTTCAGGACTGCGCTTCTGATCTGCTTGCTTGGCAGGAAGACACATGGCCACTGTTTCATTTTGTATTAATTCAGTGGTACCCAGCACATAATAGGTCCCAATAAATATGTGTTGAATGGATAAATAAAAAACATGGCAGGATTTATGCATTCCTCTACCCACCTAACCAGCCGGCCATCTACCCATCCAGCGTGTATCAAATTGTGGCTTCATGCCAGGGACTGAGTTGGGTGCTTAAGAAGATGAGGAAGCGATAGCTTGGCCTTTATGGATTCCTGGTCTATACAATGACTATAAAACAGGTCTCTTGTTAAACATGTAGGCTCCTGAGATCTCCCCAGCAATTCTGATTTTTGAGAGTCAGTTAAGGGATGTAGGGGCAGCACGAGCCACAGTCTTAGAAACAATAGAACATGGGAGGCAGACACAAAAAGAGCCATCATTATAGCGAAGGCTGGGATGTGCCACTGGAGAGAAATAGGGGGTGTGCTGGGTATCCAGCCATGGGAACATCAGGGCACACTTATGGGCGACTTATGTCCAAAGAGTTTCTTGATGTCCTCTGCCTCTGAGCCAGTGGTGGGGCTAAATCCAGAGAAGCTAGCCCTGAGGGCAGAGCAGCCCATCGAGGGCTCCCTTCTGTTTTGCCCTCTCTCCTGATGCTTCCTGCATAGAGCAGACCTCAAGCTACAGCTCTTGTAAGAGATTCCCTGGCCATTTCCATTCTTTTGTGTGTGTCCCCACCTCCCGCCAGGGTCTAGCAACCTGCAAGTATCTGTCAACAAAACAAAACAAAAAATGCCCACACTGCCACCCAGTTCATTCTGACTCACGGTGACCCTGCATGGTTTCTGAGGCTGTAAGTCTTTATAGGAGTAAGTATCAGTCGGGGCACATGGAGAACAGTAAGAGAGATTGCACAATAATAATAGAGACACAATAACAGTAATAAAACCAAGCTCAGTCCTTCTGATGGCTCAGATGATAAAGAACAGACTTTATAGACTGATCAATTTTAACTTAGATGTAAATGCCTTATAAAGCAGTCTGCTATTCCTACCAAGCTCCCAGAAACGTCTTGGTAAGCTAAGGCACCTTCATGTCCCTTGACTTTATCTGCTGATTCAAGGCCTCAGTTCTCTGCACAAATCCTCCCCCACAATTGTCTGGCAGCCTCTGGGTGCTTGCTCATGAGAACCTTTTTCTTGTCCTACCTCTGCTGCTTAAAAGCCACAGCTCATAAAGTCACCCGAGGCTCATATTTCTACAGCTGCTGATGCCCTAGTCTCCATACCAAGGTTCGGTTCTTGTCCAAACTTTACTAGAATGATGCTGTCTTTCAAGCAGAGGTGGTTGGAATGGCTGTTCCTCTATTCTGTGTCTTTATCCCTTGGAAACAAAGCAGCTGTGCATATGCCCCTATGTCTCGAAGCCCATCACAACAACATATTTTGCTTCTTACCCTCATGACTCAGCTAATATCAGGGACAGTTCCTACCCTGCCATTGTGGTCCCAGTTTCCCATCAATCTGTTCAAACCTCCCCCCTACTCCTTCACAGAAAACTCTTCTACAGAAGCGTATGTGACTTACCTACAGATAAGTGCTTCATCACAGATAAGGGCAAATATCAGTTGGGCACAAACAGGGACACAAACCATCCTGGTAAATTGCAAACTTTCTGGTGGCTCAATGGTGAACCACTCTTGATTTAAACATTTTAACTTAGAAATGAATGCCTCCTAAACCAGAGTCTTCCATTGCCCCCGAGCCAGCTTCCAGAAAGGTCTTGGTCTATTTGTCATCCCCCAGAAAGGGTAAAGGCTCATTACACTTAAATCTTATAAAGACTTAGAGCTAAAGGACCTTCAGGTTTCAAAAGGGTTATTGATTAACTGCCTGGGGAAATATCCCATCAATTATAGTATTGTTTCTCGAGGGAAATGCACCCCAGGTTTCCAGCAGTAGGCTTACAAATGGACTTTTAGAAGTCTGTATGTTCATAAAGACTTTTGGAGACTCTTTGAAAGATCAGGTCTGGAGAACCATTTGGAACTTTTAAAATAATAATAGACATCACTAGCATGATAGATCCTTGTTTACAAAGCCCTGTCACAAATCATCTGTGTATTTGAATTCCAGAACAACACTGAATGCTACCATCTGCCATTCCCAGATAGGGACACTGAGACTTGGAGAAAGGGAATGTGTATGGAAACTGCCTCGTCAGTATGCAGTCCAAGCGAGACCCATACTTCCGAGGAGAAATCTCCTTTCTATGATTGCTAAGCCCAAGGCTTCGATGGACTCGAAAATCCATGAACTAACTGGCTTTCATTTCTTGTGCCCTGATGGTGTTTCTCCCGTTTTGTTGATTTTCGATAGTATGAAAATCAAGCGCTCATGTTTGGAAAATGGGGCACTTCTGGACTGGTGGGTCGTCACAAGTTTTCTGATGTCACAGGAAAAATAAAGCTCAAGAGGGAATTCTTCCTGCCTCCAAAAGGCTGGGAATGGGAAGGAGACTGGATAGTTGATCCTGAAAGAAGGTAAGTGCTCCATTTTCTAAGGGGGGAAAAAAACAATGAAACTTCCCCCTAGAAATTGCTCATTTTTAAAGTCACATTTACAGAACACCCACTATACATGCTATTGAAAATTGAGAGCTATCCTCAAGGCCCAGTAATGAATGAGACAAATGTATTTAAAAAATACCTGATAGCTTATATCAAGAAGGTATTAGGTGCTCATGGACCAGATGTGAGCTGCACTCCGGCATCATCTTATTTAATCTTGACAATACCCAATAAAGATGATGTCGAGAATTAGGAAGGATCTGCAATATCACCTGATTTGCAAGCTAACGAAGTAGCCCGCCATAGTTTCATGGATGCTAGCAGAAGACAAAGGGCTTTAGTGCCCACACCAATATGCTCCACTTCCTTGGACCTCAGTTTTCAGGGACAAGAAGACAATTCCCAGTGCCTAGGAGACAACCAGGCGAGCCTGCCTAGTCAGTGGGTTTCAGTACAGGAGAGGAACTTCGGTTAACCCAGATCTTTTGCTATGGGCAGTAGCATGCCTGCTCTTTGCTCTGGAGGGAGACCTTAGCGCTCTCTTCCAAAGCTCTCCTACAAGCATCCTTGGAAAGATAGTCTGTAGCAAAAGCAGTCAATGTCTGTTACAAGATGTACAGAAATGTAAGAGAATCGTAGAGAATTCCCCCCCTCAGATAGTCGATTTATCTCTACTGTATAAATAAAGAAATTGGTACCTGGAGAAATTAAAGAACTTCTCCAATGGCACGTCACTTGTAGATGGTGTCAAACCCACATCCACTGCCATCGACTCAATTCGGACTGACAGTGATCCCAGAGGGCAGAGGAGATGTATCACTGAGGCTGGAAATCTTTACAGGAGCGGAACACCCCATCTTTCTCCTGCAGAGTGACTGGTGGCTTCAAACTACTGGCCTTGCAATTAACAGTCCAGAGTGTAATCCACTTAGCCATCAGAGCTAGGACGAAAACTCCTATCCGGGTTGGACTCCAAAACTAGCATTTTTAACTATTATGTTGGAATGCTTGCAAGAAATAGCAGAGGGTGCATGCTAAGTGGACAAATTTTATAGTACTTGAAGTATACCTCAATAAAGCTATGACGTAAAAATGGTTAAACCTTCAACCAACAGTAGAGGAGACCAGCATGTTTCCCTGCTGACTGGGGAAACCAAAGCTTGGGGGGTCTTGGTTTCCAAGGGTTGCAGAAACTTTGAACCCCTTCGTTTCTTCAATTCAGAATACTGGAGTGTGAAGGAAATGAGTATAGGAAGTTGAGCCTTAAGGTCACAAACTTCGAGTTCGATTCCTCTGTCAAAGGTTGTTTCTCGATCCCACTAGCTAAGGAGAGAAGTGGGGTCAGCGGGTGCGTTGAAGCACAGGTTTGCATACAACCTCTTTTAACTCCAAAGGCCTGGCTTTGCCTGAGCTGAGGGCAGGGGCGTGGTGAGCAGGGTAGGGACAGAAATTAAGTGAGGCAGGGTAGGGACAGGGCAGGGGAGAGTGATTGAAAAGCAGCAGATCAGACTGTCAAGGCTAGAGGAGACCCTCAATGCGTCTGCCAGTGCTTTGCGTCTCCTTCACCAGAGCCCAAAGCAGTGATGGACGAGTCCCATTGCTACAAGCGGTTGGGAGACTCTGCTTTGGGATTCCTTCCAGTGCTTGGGTCTAGGAGAGGAGACAGCGGGAAAAGAGGTAGAGACGGCGAAGGGAAAAGGACCCTCCCTTGAGAGGCTTCTTTGCAGAAGCCTGAAGTCTAACTTGGAGCCCCTGGAACTCTTCCCTGTGGGTTGTCAGAGAGCTGCAAATCCAAGAGGAAAATTGGCACGGCTGAGAGTCAATATGGATTTGTCCAGTGCCCCAAACGAGTTTGGAGTCTGAAACGACCTGGTTTGGCCGTCTACCTACAGACGGTCCGGAAACCATGAACTCCGCCCTTCAGTTTGTGTTACGTAGACCAAGCAAACCGAGGGTAACCATTTCCACACTTAGCCACATGAGCCCGTCTCCATTCCACATGAGAACAAAGAAAAAGGCAAAGGAAAAAAAGCAGGGGCTGGAGGGGAACGACTCCCTGTTCTTTCGAATGGTTAGCCAAGAGTTTTGCTGAGAAACACACGGAGCAGCTCTGAATTGGAACAGCGCCCCTGGAACCCCATCTCTGGTCCTCCTAAGAAGCTGCCCACAGGCCTGGTTCCCCAGCCCCACCCTACTCAGGGAGGAGGGGCCAGCTTGCTCATTTGAAGAGAGCTCTGTAATTGAGGTCTCATTGGTCCAGCAGGGCACTTCTTCAAAGGACTGTCAGAACCCATCAGTCCAAAGAGAAGCTTGGCGTTGGGAAGCAAATGGGGTAAAGCGAGGAGGGGGAACTGGGACCCCTCCCAGGGTGTAGACATTTCCCAGCCATTGATAATAGCTGGCCTGGCCAGTTACCATTTCTCCTTGGGTAACACGAGCCCTTGCCCGCAGCCTGCTGACCGAGGCGGACGCCGGTCACACGGAGTTCACCGATGAAGTGTATCAGAACGAGAGCCGCTACCCCGGGGGCGAGTGGAAGCTGGCGGAGGTCCCCTACACGGACACGGTGAGTGGCCTGCTCTGGGGGAAAAGAGGTCCCTGGTATCCCTGGGGAACGAGAGCCAGGCTTTCCCTTCTCCTCTGTGTCACCCTGTGATCTGAATAGTCTCCCATTGACAACGGAAGCCAACGAGTGCAACTCCCATTCTCTGCTCCAGAAAAGAAGCCAGGCTTCTGTGACTGGATATTGGCGATGGCAGCGTTTGGGATGTGCACTCTTTTTTAGAAGTCAGAAGCAACACACATTTCTTATTTAACTAGTTGGTGTTTTTTGTTTTTTTTTAAGCAGAACCAATGAAATGTTCATTAAAAGAAAATCCAAACAGCCTAGCAACTGTTTTTGAGAAAGCCATTGGTCTGAAGTTCAGGCCCTAAGGTTCACCATCCCAGTGTGTCGTCTTTAGTTTCCATTTTCAATTTCCTAATTTACAGTAAGGCCGAGTCTTCTCGGTGCCTGCGGGCCCTGCCTTAGTTACTTAGGGCTGCTGTCAAGGACTTAACCTCGGGTTCTTTCAGGAACGAGAATGTCTTTTCTCACAGTTCCAGCTGTGAGACGGGTGCTTTTGGGGACCCCGACGGGGCTAGGCATGCCTTCTCTATGGGATCCAGAGCATTGGCTCCCGGGTTTATTTGGTCTTTCCAGAAAAAGCACCTCTGGCAATTAACAAACTATATACGGTAGGTAGCCCATAATCCAGGATAAAGTGTGGGTATCTGCCTTTGCAACCTCTTGGGATCATCCCAGTGCACTCCGGGGGGACGGTATTGCCCACTTTGGGAAACACGAGTCTAGAGCAGGCAGGGGTGGGGGACATCGGCCCAGGCCAAATGAGGCCTGTGAAATCATCTATACCAGCAAACGTGGCACGCCTCGCCAAAGAGAAGCAGTTCAGCCATCACATTAGGACTGAGCTAATTGAATGTTTGAACAAATATAGCAGGATCGTTTTTTAGTTGATAATTTTCTATGGCCCAAGAAGCATGTTCTAAATATCCATATGGCTCTTGGTAGAAGAAAAAAAAAATTCCCCACCCCTGGTCCAAAGTCTAGAGGAAGCTCCTTATCTCTTCTAGTTTCTGTAGCTCCACGTGTTACTTGGTGTTCCTTGGTTGCTAGATATATCTTCAACTGGCACCTGTCTTCCCCCTGCGTGTGTGTACTGTATAAAGATCACTCAGAAGGGATGAGGTTTAGAAACCACCCCCCCCACCACTCTGATTGTGTCTCATTAACATAATATAAGAGAAACTGAGAAACTCTATCCCCCAACAGGGCCACATTCACAGGTAAAGGAGTTAAGACCTTCTTTTAGGAGATCATGCTGCAATTCCTTACTTCCTTTATTATGACCGTTCCGATCATGTCCTAAGTCCTCATCAGAGTTTCTACAGGATGTTCCTGAGCTAATCCCTCACGTGAACTCTGCTCCATCTGGCATGAGGAGCGTCACGATCCTCCATCAGCTCTCCCCACATACTTGGCTTTCAAACTGTATCCACTCTTTGATGGTTTCTTCCCTCCACACCCTCTCATGAGCCCCACTGTACTGTTTCATAATCTTAAATGGAACCATATGAAATTGCTGACATCTGTCCATTCTTGACTATGGTTCAGCAAATACAACTCCTTCATAGCAGAAACACAGGGTAGTACAAACCCTAATTTCTACATAGCAGTTGTGTATCAGTAAAGCTTAGGGCCCTTGCTGAGTAAGTTGATCTCTTAGAGGACACCTGCATAAGCAGTCAGTACCATAGTAGAAGGAGCCCTATCTCACCTTTGCATTTGTTTCCACTTTTTCTTAAAGAACGGTGATAAAGCAGTGTCACCCAGCGAGTTGACTTGCCCTCCGGGTTGGGAATGGGAAGACGATGCATGGACTTATGACATAAATCGCGCGGTGGACGAGAAAGGTAACGTTGCTTATCTGTTGTCTGGCTTGGTTAACCAGATAAGAGTTCCTTGCAATGGAGGGGGCCCTTCTCCTTTTGGGCCTGTGGCAATCAGGTCACGTGGAGATGCTGGGGACTATTCCGATGTAAATTCTGAGGGACAAGCAAATGCTTGGACTGTGATGGAGAGAGAAGGCTACGAAGGAGTGTGAAATATGAGGTGATGGGGCTACGTGAAGGAGCACTGGTAGTAACCTGGTTCAGTGCTTGGCTGATTACTGAAAAGTCAGCAAAGGTCAGTGGTTAGAATCCACCAGTGTCTCCATGGGGGAACAGACTTATTGATCTGCTCCCATAAAATGATCTGCTGCTGTGGAATCTGACTCCTACAAGGTAGTGACCTTATAGGACAGAGCACAACTGCCTATCATCTGCAACCTTTGGTTCTGTAGTCCTTGCAGAGTAGACTGCCACCTCTTTTCCTGCCGTGCAGCTGGTGAGCTCCATATCCCAGTCTTTTGGTCAGCAGCCCAATAGTCACCGTTTGCCACCAGGGCATCTTCGATGGAGATTACAGCCTGGGAACCCATGGGGCACTTCCACTTTGTCATAGAGCAGTGGTTCTCAACCTTCCCAATACAGTTCCTCATGTGGTGGTGACCCCCAACCGTAAAACTATTTTCGTTGCTTCTTCATCACTGTCACGTTGCTACTGCTATGGATCGGGCGACCCCTGTGAAAGGGTCATTTGACCCCCAAAGGGGTCACAACCCACAGGTTGAGGACCACTGTCTATAGGATCGCCATGGGTTGAAGTGTTCTCTACAGCACACAACAACAGGTGTCCAAGTGGCTGGGCTTCAAGGTGCTGCAGATTGAGAAGGAGAACATGGAGAAGCTGGAGTTGGAATTTTCTCCACTCTGACCCCCTCTCATAACTTCCCTGGGAGCACTGTGCTCCGGTGCCACTCCATCGGACAGGAGAATTCTAAGATGTATTAAAAGCCATCCGATTCAGTAATCATAAAAAACCAACCAACCAACAAACTCCCCACCATGGAGTCAATTCTGACTCATGGCGACCTTATAGGGCAGGGTAGAACGGCCCCTTGGGTTTCTGAGACGAGACTATAACTCTTTCCAGGAGCAGAAAGCCTCATCTTTCTAGCTCGGAGTGGGTGGTGGTTTCAAACTGCTGACCTTGCAGTTAGCAGCCCGACACAGATCCACCACGCCACCAAGGCTAAGAAGTGGCTTTGTTAATGACATTTGCCTTTGTTTATGAGCAGTCATTTAAAGTTAAGTCAATTTTAACATTTTGAGTTATCAAAAGAATTTTTGACTGGTGCCTTTTTTCCTCACAAGAGGGAGTAGCGCATAAAAAGATTGGACGTTGATACAGAAGATTTCAACTGGGTGATACCTTCTTTGCATTGAGCATTTACTGTATACTCGGCAAGCTTGGTGCTTCCTTTGCCTTTGTTTGATGAATACTGCACACTATCTGACAATAAGATGTATTTACCTTGGCAATGGGAAAATTGGCTCATTGGCAGTTCTATTGACTTGCAGTTAACATATTTAGCAAACAACACTGGCTGCAGTTGAAATTCGAACACAGGTCGACTACTCAACCAGTCCACTTTCGTCCTTAACCACAATCCCCTCTGCCTCTTCACCTCCCTGTCCTTTGTCCATCCTGTTGTGCTTGGAACCACCCAGGCTAATCTGGACTCGGGCTCACCCCATGTGACAGAGTAGAACCGTCTCAGCGTTTTCTAGGCAGTCAGCTTTTTTTTTTTAATCATTTTATT